ATTTAAAGAAACAGGTATAGCATTGTTACATGATTTATATATTGCCAACCCAACCGTTAGAATTATATTCCTAACAGATATTCCGTGTCTAGGAAAAAAAACCAATACGGAGATTAATGCAGGAAGCCTTCAACTTCCAATTATTTGTTTAGTGACCGTTCAGAGTTACAACAGCAAAGAAAAAGGCAACTTATGACTATTTTTGACATTTACCATTGTTGCAGCATCCCCATGGTCACATGATCAAAATTCAGATGCTTGGCGACTGATTCATATTTAGGAAGGTTGCAGTGTCCCGGGGTGACGCGATCCCCTTTTGCGACCTTCTGAGAACCAAAATCAATGACTCACTTAACAAACATGTTGCTCACTTAACAACTGCAACGATTCACTTAAGTAACGGTGGCAAGACAGATCATAAAACTCACTTAGCAACAGAAATTTTGGGCTCAGTTGTGCTCCTGAGTTGAGGGCTACCTGTAGAGGAAATTTGTGAGGGAGGAAGAGTTTAAAGTATAACAAAATATCCATTTCACCGACGTCTTGAGGGAAGGAAGGAGATGCTGTTCCAGAGGGCAGGTGTTAACTTGCAAAGCATCCCTGGCCTGCTCTTGAGTTGCCGTAGGAAAGGGGAGGGGATGGGAAGCCGATGAAACAGCATAGCAGCAAAAGACAGATGGACATTCCAGACTTATCTTTCTCAAGGCTGTATCCCAGGTTTCCCACAGCAGCCGAAGAGGGGGAGTGATCTCTACAGCCCCCGAAACTGCTCCATTGGAGAATGTGATTTATGACACACCCTGGGGGGAATCAGGGTCATAATTGGGCCATAAATTACGTGGGGTCAGAGCTGGCTTCACTTGGGTATGTGCCGACACGTTGCTCCTAATAAATAACTGGATTTCTTTCGAAGTTTGGCTCGAGGCTCATGATTTAATTAGAGCATCCGTAGGAACCTTGACAGCAGGTCTGAGGGAGAAAGTGCATCCTCTAGACCAGGGGTCCCCAACCTGAGGGCCGTAGCCCACTACAGGGCCGCAGCCTACTTCCAACTGGACCACGAGGGGCTGCCTGGTGCCTGTGTGTCAGAGGGGCACTCACACGTGTCGCAGGTGCTCAGGGCTTCACTCACACAAGCATCACAGGTGCTCAGGTTCCCACTCATGCGAGCATTGAGGGCACTCCCGGCCCCACTTGCATGAGTGCTCGCAGTCCCACTCGAGTGAGCACTCTTGGCCCCAATCATGTGAATGTGACAGCCATTTGTGGCCCCACTCGCACGAGCAACCTCAGCCTCCAACAAAACCATTCCCTCTTTCTCCACTCCAGGCCACCCACCTGGAAAGTTTGGGGAACTCTTCCCTAGACTGCCTTTGGAGAAGGACCAGGGGATGCCGAACCTGTCCAGATGCATTGGATTAATATAATAGTCTGGCTTAAGGCTGTCCAGAGTTAAGAGAAGAATATGATGTAAATTTATCACAATAAAGCATTTTTGACCTGAGAATATTTTCAAATATGGACACACTTGTGCTTTGCATGCACACCCACCCACCACCACCCATACCTTGGTGTCAAGTTCACATTCAGTTCACGTTCCGAGTGTTGAGCTTTGTGACAGAAAGACAGAGAAAACCACTGAAGCTACAGTCGTTTGGTTCTTGGGCCAGAGAAGTTAGGCCGGTCCAATAAATCCACGGACCTAAGGAAGCAGGGGTGAAGTCAACTTACCTTCGCTACAGGTTTGCAAATGTCAGCGTGCGCGTTCTCTCTCACTTCGCTCACACGCGCCACCTCCACGTACGCGCAGGATCTTCTGCGCATGCGCAGAGCGTCAAAAATGATGTGATGACGTCCGGGCGGGTGGGCGGAGCCTGCTATCAAGCGCGCCTGCAAAGGTAAGTAGAACAGCGAGGAGGTGGGAATCCTCTCTGCCACACAATTTAGATTATCTAGAAAGCAGGAAGTAGGACAATTCTAGCTAATATAAATGGCACGTCACAGCCGATCATTGCAATACCAGTCTGCCTGAACCGGTAGCATTTTTTGCTACTGGTTCAGGCAAACCAGTCCGAACCGGTAGCATTTCACCCCTGTAAAGAAGTCTTGTTGAAAACACTGGGCTACAGCTTCTATCATCTTTAGCAAGCCCGGTGATACTGTTGGAAGAATGACGGAAGGGTAGAGCAGGGAGTTGGCTAGGGTTGGCTTGGCTCTTGCTCAGGATTTCTTCTCGCTGCTCTTTTGGATCAGGCTGTCCGCTTTCCGCCGGCGCCAATCACAGATGTCGACAAAGAGGCAATAGGAGCATTTCCAAGTGTCTTCAATGTCCACTCCCTTGGGATCTCTTTGCCCTTTCCAATAGTCTAAGAAATAATGGGACATGGACATCAATTCATCTTGGTCATAGGTGATGACTTCAGTGCCCAGCAAGGTGTTGGTTTGTTGATGAATGTATTCAATTTGAAGACGGTCGATGGGCGGAATGTCTGAGTGGGTCAAGTTGAGGAGCACCAGCTCCAGGAGGTCTTCGAAGCACTGCACCACGAACCCAGCTTTTTGAGCGTGTTCTTGGATCTCCTGGCCAAGTGACTGTTTGAGCTTCAGACGAAGGTGATGTGTGAAAATGTCTTGGGTTAAGCATCCTTGCACCATGGCATCAAAGAGATGTTTATACAAAGAGACCTGCAATGAATCAAGCACACCTTTTTGAGTTGCATCCAATTTTCAGCCTCACCTGTGTCTCATTGAGTACAGGTAGACCTCAAGTTACGATCACAATTGGGAACAATATTTGCACTACTAAGCATGATGGGTATTAAGTCAGTCACCCTCAATTTTATCTTTTTTGCTCCCCTGATTGTTAAGGAAATTACTCCTGTTGGTAAGCGAATTACCCAGTCGTTAAGCAAATCCAGCTTCCCCATTTGCTCAACAGAAGCCGGCTGGGAAGGTGGCAAATGGTGATCACATAAGCTCAAGGCACTCCAACTGTTGTAAATACATGGCTGTAGCCAAGTGCTCGTATTTTTATCAAGACTGTAGGGAAGCTGAGATGGTCTAATGTTGAAATTCATTGTTGCAATTTATTTTTATCCGACAACTACAGTAGCATCCAGCCATTAGATGGCAGTGTTTACAAGTTTGGCTCTATGATATATAATCTATGCCCTTTTGTTTTAAGTAGAGTTTCCTGTGACAGTTTAGTTGAGCAGGAAAGCACATGGTGACTGTACTCTGTATTTTCTCTGTAGTGTTATATATATACAGAATTTCTAACACGTAAGTGTAAAGACTGGTTGCAAGTCTCTTTTCAGTGCCATTGTAACTTTGAATGGTAACTAAACGAATGGTTGTAAGTCGAGGACTATCTGTATTTAGATGTATAGGAGGGCTTATTGGGGTTTGATATGCCCACTGTAAAGGTTTAATACATGTTTCCTGCATGGAAATATTTCATGTTGTCCTCCAGACTTCCAAAAATGATTGTTTATTGGTTTCTCTAAGTCTAAATCCCAGGATCCTTTGGTACATTCACTATCGTCGACTTCAAATAAAATCTGGTAATATTTCTGAAATATACCTTTCTGTTCTAAGCCACCATGATTAAAATATACTAGCTGTGAAAAATATTGGGGTATCTTCTGCAGACCCCATGTTTAATCTGAGCCAGCCATGTGATCAGTGGTGGGATTCAAATTTTTTTAACTACTGGTTCTGTGGGCGTGGCTTGGTGGGCATGTCATGGCTTGGTGGGCGTGGCAGGGGAAGGATACTGCAAAATCCCCATTCCCTCCCAATCAGCTGGGACTTGGAAGGCAGAGAATAGATGGGTGCGAGGCCAGTCAGAGGTGATATTTACCGGTTCTCTGAACTACTCAAAATTTCCGCTACCGATTCTCCAGAACTGGTCAGAACCTGCTGAATCTCACCTCTGCATGTGATGCAGCGGGTAAATAAGCAAATGCTATTAGGGATGGAAGGCAATTGACACAAGCAGAGAATTCAGATCATGGAAAGCAATGGGCCCATGTTATTTTCTCCCTGGTCAAGAAGACTCCATTTGGAGTATGGGATCCAGTTCTGGAGATAATAGTGGCCTTCAAATCCAAGATGGATTGTCATTTGGAGAAAGGCTTACTTTCTTTTGCTTCAGAGGCTAGGACAGGACACATTGGGTTACGGAAGATCAAGTCCGACTGGAGGAGAAATTATCTGACCGTGTGAACTGTCAAGCTTATAGAAAGGGCTCTCGTGTCAAGAGCTCAATTCCCCTTCACTGAAATTCAGCAGCAGCTACACCACATCTCACAGGTATGTTCTAGTACAGCATTTCTCTCTCTCTCTCTCTTTTTAAAAGATTTTTATTAACAAACATGTAAAATACACACACACACAAATTAGACGTACACCACATTTATACAAAACAGTACGAACAGGAGTTTC